TGATGGTGCTTTTCTGACTCTGCACCAAGAACCGCCACACCAAGGCAGCGGCAAAACTGCCTCACCGGCCTCAAGAGTCACGCTGGCGACACGTGGGGCTCCTCCGCTGGGAATCTCCTGGTGTGTGAGCAACAAAAATTGATCTGAAAGTGTGGCGTCCTCTCGTTCTCTGCTCTTTCAGTGGGAGCTGCAATCCCGAGCTGCTAGTGATCAGCCATCTTGGATCTCTCTCCCCTAGAACAATTCTTTCTTTTAAAAAAAAAATAAACTTGTGGGCTGGGTGCAATGGCTCATGCCTGTAATCCCAGCACTTCGGGAGGCTGAGGCAGGCAGATCACAAGGTCAGGAGATCGAGACCATCCTGGCTAACATGGTGAAACCCCGATTCTACTAAAATACAAAAAATTAGCCAGGCGTGGTGGGGGCACACCTGTAGTCCTAGCTACCCGGGAGACTGAGGCAGGGGAATTGCTTGATCCCAGGAGGTGGAGGTTACTGTGAGTTAAGATTGCACCACTGCACTCCAGCCTGGCAATAAAGCAGGACTCTGTCTCAATAAATAAATAAACTTAAGAAAATTCTTTAGAGACAAAGTCTCACTTTGTTGCCCAGGCTGGTCTTGAACTCCTGCCCTCAAGGGATCCACCTGCCTCTCAAAGTGTTGGGATTACAGGTGTGAGCCACCACGCCTGGCTAAAACTATTATTCAAAGTAGATTTATTATATTGTTGCTATTTTTTGTATTATGATTTTTAAGCTTTGTTCTTATTCCCTTCTAGTCTTTGCAAAGCCAGCTCTCCTAACGGGATAATCTTAGCTCAACATCCAGAGATTACTGATCCTAACTTGAGGCTAGATTCCAAACAGACCTGCTCCGATAACATTTTTCCTTCTGGCCTCTTTGTTGCTGAAATGTGGCCCAGGTCACTGACATAAACCCTCATACATTCCCTTCGATGTGGGCAGGTCAGTCCCAGCACTGACGGACAATTAACCTACCTTCAAAATGGTTGATCAGTGATGCTTTCAGATAAATAACTTGATCAAAATGGGAAAATATAAAAAGTTGGTCATGGCCGGACACGGTGGCTCACGCCTGTCATCCCAGCACTTTGGG